GGCCTCCGGCTTCCACCACCCGCAGACCCACCTCCAGTACCAGAACACCTCCCAGTTTGGCCTTTTCGAGGACAGCCTGCCCTTACAGCCCTCGGCTCCCCGGGGCATGCTCACCCCTCCTTCCTCCCCTCTGGAGCTGCTGGACTCCAAACCAAAGCGGGGCCGTCGGTCCTGGCCGAGGAAGAGGACGGCCACTCACACGTGCACCTACGCGGGCTGCGGGAAGACCTACACCAAGAGTTCGCACCTGAAGGCCCATCTCAGGACACACACAGGTAAACAGGGCTGGTGGCTTCACCCGGGGATGCGCTGCGGGCCGGGGGGATAGCCCTGAACTAAAGAGTCTGCTTTAGAACGGGGCTTTAACTGTTAAGTCCGGGCGTGCTCACAGAGCTGTGACAGGTGGGCAGGGCTGGAACGTCCAGGTGTTTTCCTGTGCAGGTCAAAGCTTTCCCAAAGCCTTTTTCGCGGCAGGTACGGGTGGGTAAGGGAATCGCTGGAGCAGTTCTGTTTAGGTTTGAGGCACTCGGGCAGGGGTGAGCTCGGGAGGCTGCCTGGCTGCCGTGGGAGTGCCCTGCTGAGTCACCACTCTCTGCTCTCCCCACCAGGTGAGAAGCCCTACCACTGCAACTGGGAAGGCTGCGGCTGGAAGTTCGCCCGCTCCGACGAGCTCACCCGCCACTACCGCAAACACACGGGGCACCGGCCCTTCCAGTGCCACCTCTGCGACAGGGCCTTCTCCAGGTCCGACCACCTGGCCTTGCACATGAAGCGCCACATGTAGTGCCGGGGACTCCGCCCCGCCGGGGCTGTGGACGATGTTTTAACTGCTCAGGTGCAGAAGAGCGTTAAAAAACCTGTAGCTGGTACTAGGTGGGGGAGGCACCGACCGACCGACCGACCGACCGACAGACGCTCCAGGACGGACGCTGAGGGTTTGACACAAGGAGGCTTAGCCAGGAATCTCCTGCAGAGAATCTGCCGTGACTGTATCAGTGACCTGCCCGTCCCGGTCAGGAGAACAGGGGTTATTATTTATGCAGCTTCTGTGAAGGGTAAACTCCAATAAGACTCCATACAGACTGTATAGAAGAAGCTGTAAATATGTTTTGTTATTTTTTTTCCGATTCTAACCGCCCAGTCCTAAGCTTTACAAGACAATGTTTGTATGGAAACTGCCTGAAGTTGACCCTAGAAGAGATAAAATGAATGTTACTGTAGCTAACAATGTTATTTTAGATCTCAGTTGAAGGCATGGCTAAGAGAACACTCCTCTTGTTAGACTGTTTGGTTCACAGGTGCAATAATATTCTTGTTTGCCATGATCTACACTAGAAGTACAGGGCTTGATGTCTTGTAAGAAAATAACCTATTTTACTGTAATTTTTTTTATATATTGTAAATAATTTTATACAATGAGAAATATTGTATATGTAAATAGAAGACAAATGGGTATTTTGCCTATTTCTGTTTTTATAAAAACGTAATTTTTCAATGTTTGAAAACATTTCATCTTTTTAATAAAATAAGTTTTTAATTGCTGTGATTTTTATTCTCCTTTGAGATCTCCCTGTTACTTTTCCCCTGATGGCTGGACCAGCAACCACTCGGTTTTGTTTTAAATCACCAACAACTGTAAGAAGACACTTTAAAAAATCTGAGCCATGGATTTTTCTAAAACAGATAACAGAGTAAGTAATTCATTCTCAGTGGTAAATAAGATACAGTACAGTGCTTTATCAAAAACTCAAATAGGAAAGTAGATCATATTCAAAACATACTTCCTAAAAATGGTTAAGTAAGCAACACTGTAATTTCAGTCTCATTTCTAGTTTATACTAAACTATTTTAATAGCATCCTTAATGTTTTCCAGATGCAGTTATAGTTTTGCCAGCAGTGTGTGGGTTTTTACTATAAATTTAAACACTGCATTTTTGTAATTACGGAGGCTTATTTTAAGGCATTCTTATACATAAATTATCCTTGTTCTCAGGAGCTCAGTGCAGAATTCCAGTAGAACAGTGGTGGAATTCAAGCACAAATTCACTGCACAGGTTAAAATACCTTCATAACTCATTCCCCAAAACTTAAATTCACTTAATAGTTTGTAGTCCCACCTAGATTTCAGGAGTTAAGAAAGATATTAAATATTTTGGGGTTGGAGGGGGAGGAAATCAGTCAGGAATCCAGATTCTGAAAACTAATGACAAATAAACTGGATACTGCAACGGCTATAGCAGTAAATAGCTGCAAAAGCCAAATTGAGCCCCCCCAAAAGCTCTTCCCCAGCTGTAAATGAGCTCAGAAGTCCAAGGAGTAAATCTGAGCAAGTTATCTGAAACTCTGACAAGGATCCTCTGTTTTTACAGCTCGAGCTTAGTGGTGAGTTTTGATACTTGTAGGACAAAAATCACTGTTAATCAAATGTGCAGATTCAGCTTAACGTTGCAGCATTTTTTTTTCTTAACATCTGGATACATAGAACTTGATTTTAATCAAGATTGTGACATCTTTTTCTGACTTTACATGTTAGAAAATACACAAGAATGAAATCAACAGGAATACATTTAGAGTAAGTGCAAATATAGCTGTTCTTCTGTGAAAGCAAAGGCTGCAGTTGTTCATGTGGAACAGATGTATTTTGGGCTTCTAATCATTGGCATGGAAGAATGAGTTCCACATTTCACTTTTATAGCTCTTTCAAAGTGAAATATAAGGGAGCTTTAACGTTTCTTCATCAAAAACAACACTCATTTATTTGTTAGAAAAAAATAAAATTGCACAATCTGATTCCAGAAAGTGAGGATGACTTAAAGATGTTCTAAACTTGGCACATTCATTGTTGCAACAGTTCTAGGTATTTCCTTCTCTTTCCCCATAGCTGAAGATTTTCATATTTCAGCACGTCCTTCGGTGTTTATAACTTTAAGAAAACTTTTTAAATCCTTACTTTTACCTCTTGGTACTCAGCTGGCTTTCCCTCGTTCTTTTTGAAGAGCTAGAAATAGTTTTAGTCATTCCCAGGTTTCAGGGATGCAGCACAAGCTTAAACTATTCACTGCTTTGTGACACAATTAGAAGAGACACAGAGGTGTGACATCCCTGTTCCTGAGAAGAGAACGTTCCAAGGAGACCTCAGTGCCCCTTCCAGTGACTAAAGGGATTCCAGGAGGGCTGGAGAGGGACTTGGAACAAGGGATGGAGGGACAAGAGAAGGGGGAATGGCTTCAAAGTGAAAGAGGGGAAATTTCAGTGGGATATTGGGAAGGAATTCCTCCCTTTGAGGGTGGTGAGGGGCTGGGATGGAATGCCCAGAGAAGCTGTGGCTGCCCCATCCCTGGAAGTGTCCAAGGCCAGGTTGGATGGGGCTTGGAACAAACTGGGACAGTGGAAGGTGTCCCTGCCCATGGCAGGAGGTGGAACTGGATGGGATTTGAGGAGCCTTCCAACCCAAACCATTCTGGGATTCTGTGATTCCGGGGGTGGAAGGCAGCTGCAGACAGTGACCCAGCACAGAGCAGATGGTTCTGCAATGCCTGTGCAGAGATAAGTGTTACCACAGTCACCAACACTCAAAAACCCCTCGTGTGGCTCCTCTGCATCACCCACCACGGTGGGAGCTCCTCCTCCAGCACCTCGGCATGGGAGCATCCAAAGCTGCCTTGGCTCCAGTGAAGGGTCTGGCTGGGAGGGTCATCACCTCTGCTCCTCTTCTCCTGCTCACTAGAAAGTCTTCAGATAAAACACTCCTTATCTGCCTGATACTGGTACCAAATAACACCCAAACCCTGAGGAACGGTGGAGGCAACGCAAGGAGGAGCAGGTTGTGCCCTCTGAGCTTTTAGATCTGTGACTCAACTGAAAATAGGGCAAAGGTATAAATATCAAAGACCTCATATAAAAATATATAAACACAGGCCTCCGAAAGTGGGGAGGGATGGGGGACAAAACACTAATAAAAGTTCACGAGAAACTGTCATTAAAGTTAAAGGGAGGGCACATGTGATAATTGCTGTGTGGTCTTTACAGGAAACTGCAGGTTCTTGAATCTTGAGATCATCTTGTAGCAGAAAAAAAGAGATGCTGATCTCATTCTTCTCACATTCCATTATGAGTAATTGTAACTCTCTTTGTCTTTTTTCTTTTTTTTTCTTTCTTTAATTGTCTCAAATGAGTACATCCGAAGATGTAATTCCAGTAATCTCCCAAGCCTCCCCTGGTCAGCAGGAAATCACTAACGCTCCACATCTTCTAATAACAGACCATCAGGTTGTCATCTCTCAGGCAATTTTGTTCTAATTAACCAGCTGCCTCCCAGGGAGCATCCAGCCACCGCGATCCGCAGCGATCCTGGATTTGATTTTGTCATGCCAGGGAAAGGAAAAAACAACAGAGGTTGTAGTTAACCCCGATGGGAGGAAATGTAGAGTCCGTTGTAAACAAGATTTTCACACATATTCTTCTAAGATACCGCAGCGATGGGCTCACTATTGTTGCAAGATAGATTGTGAGATTAGATAGAGCTCGTTCAGTGCAGAAACGAGCAAATCCTGCACAAAGGTCCTGGTGAAAGTTTTAGCAAATATTTCTGAGCTAGGGCACCATCCCGAGGAGCCCCTGCCCAGTCAGTTCATCCACGCGGGGCTTCCGAGCGTTGTGTTCCGTTCTGCTGAGAACGGTTTGTCTCTCACCTGTCGGGAGAGTCAGTTAAACCTTAAAACCGGCCCCGGCACGGGAACTCGTCTGCAGAGACACCGTAACCCCGAAACAGCCCGAACAGCCCCGGGTTCTGTGACCCCCGAACAGCCCCGGGTTCTGTGACACACGAACAGTTCTGAACAGCCCCGGATTCTGTGACCCCCGAACAGCCCCGGGTCCTGCAATCCCAAAAGAGCCCCGGGTCCTGTAACCCCCAAGCAGCTCCGGGTCCTGTAACCCCCAGATAGTCCCGGGTTCTGTGACCCCCAAAGAGCCCGAGCAGCCCTGAGTCCTGTGACCCCCAAACAGCCCCGAATTCTGTAACCCCCAAACAGCTCCGAGTCCTGTAACCCCCAGATAGTCCCGGGTCCTGTGACCCCCAAACAGCCCCGAACAGCCTCGGGTCCTGTAACCCCCAAACAGCCCCAGGTCCTGTGACCCCCAAACAGCCCTGAACAGCCCCGGGTCCTGCCGCTGTGGGGACTTCACGGTCGTTCGGTCCGTTCAGCTCTCGAGGGCGACACAGAGCCCTGAGCACAACCAGTACAGCCCAGCACCACCCCAGCACCACCCCAGCACCCTGAAACAGCCCAGCAGCACAGCAGCAGCACAGCAGCACCCCGTGCACAACACCAACACCCTGGGAAACAGCCCAGCACTACACCAGCACCCTGTGCACAACCAGCACCACACCAGCACCTCACCAGTACCCTGGGAAACAGCCCAGTCACACCAGTACCACACCAGCACCACACCAGAACCCTGAAACAGCCCAGCACCAGCCCAGTACCCCGGGGTACAGCCCAGCACCCTGTGAGCCAGCAGGCAGGGCACTTTCAAATCCCTTTTTTTTCAACCCTAAAGTGGAAGGCTGGACTAGAAACCCTCTGGCTTTTCTGGAAGTTCACTTTAGATTCAGTTTTGCAGCTGATCATGGCTGGAGGTGTTAAGCTTTGGTGCTGGCCGTGGCTCACCTCGTGCAGGGACGAGGCATTTCAGCCCCTGTGAGCCCTTGGTTACTCACAGCCGTTTACAAACTGCCTGAAAACATTGACTGGCTCTAAACTTCAGTCCTCCATCCACAAGAAGTGCCAAAAAAAGTTTGTCCACTCTTCAAATTATAGGATCGTGTGGTTCTGTGGTTTTCTGTGGTAGAAGCTCTGTGGTTTCTAAAGCTATTTTGTGCACCTCTAACACAGAGTAGCTGTTAGGCTTTGCTCAAATTGAATTTTCAAAGCCAGAATCCCAAGCTCTAGCAATTTCTTCTGCTATATTTAAATGAAACAACTACAACAAAGTCATGTAGCCACTGCTATAGCAACTAGCAGTGTTGGGGGGAAACAGAGAGAGAAAAATTCAGTCCAAACCCCCCATAATTTAGCAGGGAGAAAGCTGTCCCCATTGCTACCATCAGAAACCTACTTGGTGGCACCTACAAACCTTAAAATTCCTTCTTGTCCTTGAAGCAGCTGTTCTCAGCTGGGTCTGCCACAGGCCCCACCTGCCCAGGACATGTCCTGGGGGCCAGGAGTGGAGCAGGCAGAGCTCCTGAACTCTGGCCCTGCAGCAGCTCCTCTGCCATGGCCCAGGATTCGGCACAAACAGGATTCCCATGGATTTGGAGAGTAGGGAATGGGTTTACAAGCCAAACACCAGTAACCTACAGCACGTGGCCATGCTCAGTTCACAGGGCCTGGAGGTAACTAGCTCAACTTATTGATTCCCAGAGACTCCTTAAAGCTCTGTATGGTTTGATCCCACAAATCCCAGCTGAGACTGGGAACAGCCTCTGCCATAAACCAGCACCCTCCACTTTCAGCACACAGAGGGTGTAGGGATTCCTCCTAAACTTCTTAGGCAGAAAATCTGTTTGATTTAATCTTTTGAGGTCTGACATTTCAGCCACAATTATTTGATCTCACAATATTTAGTGCAGACACAATAAAGGAGCCATAAGCACCTGCTTTATGGAATGAAGAAGGATTAACTTTCCCAAAACCTCCTTTCCAAGCACAAGGAGAGCTGGAGCAATGAAGTTTTCATTTACTCTCTCACCACCCTTAGCATTAGTTACCTGCTCCTTTGCCTCCTCCCATTATAATTCTTTTTAGCAAATCAGAACTTTTCTGCCCCTTTTTGGTCCTGAACACGGACACTGCAGGTGAACTTACCTGGTACAGGTTTCTAATTAGATAGGGTATTCCTCTAAATCACTTTTACTGTGGTTTCTTGCACTTCTTACAGCTCAGAGCATTCCTGGAATTCTGACATATCATTATGTCACCAGGAGATATTTGGAATATCACATTGGACAGGATCCTCTGTGAAATTTAATATATTTTGTTAGTGAGAAGCTACTGAGCCTGAGGCTTAAACACAAAACAAAACACACAGAAAAATATCCTCAAATCCCAACAACCACTTTTTTTACAGCCTGTGCACGATGACAGCACAAGTGGGGTTTGATATCTTAATGATTTTATATTATATTGCAAAATAAGGGATATAGGAAGCCTGGGTGTCCTTCCTGTGGGTGCAAGGGTTGGTCAGAGAGTATAGGACTCTGTCATTCTGAAAACTGTGATCAAGGACATTTATGGGAAGTTAAACAGCAGGAATATATGATGTTTGCTGTTGCAGAGTGTGACGAGATCTCATCAATAAGGAAGGCTCCAGCAACTGCAAGAGACGCTGCATCAGCACCAATAAAAAGTCTTAATTGTTGTCATTACATTAAAAAAAAAAGTCAACCAGACAGGAGGGAAAAGGTACTTAGAGTGACTGCACTGATAGTCACCTCCAGCAGACGGGGATTCAGCAATTCCCGAGATAAACCTGGTGGCAATTCCAGCACAGCTCCAGGAGCTCCGAGTTCCACCAGGAGAGCTGGGCCTGGGGCGTGTTCAGGAACACTCAGCAAATGGCACAATTGTGTTTAACAGCTGGGCTCAGAGCTTGGAGAGCCTTTAGGTTCAAGTTTCCACTTGTAAATGTTTTTCCTGAGCAGGATGGAGAGAAATCCCTTCCCAGGGTACAGGGGGGGCCTTTAGGATTAAGCACGGACAAGGAGGATTTGGGAAGTATTTGGGAAAGCCTAAGGATGAGAACACTGTGCAAGTCAGACCCCAAAAATCTGAGTGGGAGCAAAACATGGGCCGTGATTTCATAAGAGATGATCTAATTGTAAACCTGTGCCAGGTAAATTCACCTGCAGTTCCCGTGTTCAGGAATTTATGCTCACCAAAAAGGGGCAGAAAAGTTCTGATTTGCTAAAAAGAATTATAATGGGAGCAGGTAAAGGAGCAGGTAACTAATGCTAAGGGTGATGAGAGAGCAAATGAAAACTTCATTGCTCCTGCTCTCCTTGTGCTTGGAAAGGAGGTCTCAGGAAAGTTAATCCATGTTCATTTTATTTTATAAGGACGGGAGGAACTGGGTTGGGAGTCGTGCCTGTGTGTGACACAACGCAGCCAAATCCTGGCTCCAGAATGTCAACACTCCAAAAATATTGCTGGAGACCAACCTGCCTTGGCAACCTGCTGGAACCAGCCCAGCTGGTGCTCCCCTGGTGCAGGAGCAGAGTCAGTAAACAGCGGGAGCACAGTGAGTCAAAGTGAGTAACGTGGAAAGGGTCGAGAGTGAGGTGTGTTTTTCCAGGCAGGCAGTCCATGGTGATCTCTCCAACCCCTCCCAGTGTAAATTTTCTGGATGTTCAGCGTTGCCACACACAAATTGTTTTGGGAAGGGCGCGGCGCCGGGTTTTGTGACTGCGCTGCTCCAACGCGGCCAGAACAGGGGAGAGAGGGAAGGACAGGAGGGAAAACAGCACAGAAAAGATCCCACACAGAGAATCCAGTGGTTGCTCAAAGGGAGATTCATGAATTTGACACAAAAACTTGTGGAAGTGTGGATTTAAAAAAAAAAAAAAAAAGTAAAGAACGATCACCGAAGTCTCAGAGCTCCAAAAAGTAACTTTTCATTTATTATATTAAACAATAACAATTCTCTTATTATATTAAACAATAAACACATGAGATGGGTTAAAATTAAAATACCTTTCAATTTGTTATGATATTTGAAAGATAAATATAGCTACAACAATGTACATATTTGGAGATATTAGTCAAATTTAGGTCAACATTGCAGCTTTCACTTTGTGTTTCCACCTTTTTTAGGTCAGACTGGAGAATATTAAAAGGGACACCAGAAGAGGACTCTGTAATTGTAACAGCAGGAGGAACCACAGTCACTGTGAGTTTTCCTTTAGAAGTTAAACTTAAAGGGGAAGGCAGAAGTTGGAAAAATGAAAATTCCATTTTATAACAAATTAGCCTTTATTTATAAAACTTTCAAGTAAAAAGAGCAGTATATCAACTGATCAAGCAGGTGTGTCAATGAATAACAGTTAACATATTTACTCTAAAAATAAATCTGTGATTCCACCACATTCCAAGCAAAATTCCTTTCTAAGAAAAGATGGGTGTTGTGAAGTGTAAAGAGATGCAATGGTTGACACACACCAAAAACTTGGCTGTTCCACTAGTGTAGGAACACAATTGAATTAGATCATTAATAGCACAGATCAATTCACTTCAACAGAGTTCCAGCTCTAAACAAGGATTAAACAGAAATGAAATTCCTGAGAGGGAGGAAAAAAAAATGCAGAAGAAAGGAGAAATCAAACTCTTACACGAGGGAAAGCAACAACTCTACTTGGACCAAAACTCCTTGGGCCACAGTTCTACAGAATAAATATTCTTCTCAATGGAGAAACACTAAAGAAGAAATAGTAACCCCAAAAGGATTATAAGAAGAATCCAAGAAAAGTGCATTATCGTTGAGCATAAGATGACAAAATAACTTCTACAAAATTTCTGCCACCAGATTTCACAGACAGGAATTTAAAATAAAATAAAATAATAATAAAAAAAAAAGGGTTACACAGACACAGCTTGGAATTTCCTACACTTTGAGGGCACAGTACATGGAATAAAATCCAGGGAGGACTGATGGCCCTCACAGGGCAGAGGTTCCACGAGGAAAAAATGTGCCTGTATAAAAATACTTCATCCAGCACTACTGTGGAAGGAGGATTTTCATGAGCATCTGGTTTTATTGCAGGATGACTGGGAGGTTTTACAAGGAGACAGTTGGAAGGTGACTGAGGGAAATGTGAGCACACAGGGCTGGGAGGGCTCGGGTGGGAGCTCAGGACCTGTGTCCTACGTGCATGTGCAGGCCCAGGTGGGTAATTGTCTGTCTGTCCTGTTTAACTGTTGTGCCTCAGTGTTCTGTGCAATCCAGGCCTTCCCATGAGTCATCCCAGTGATGATATTCCCTATAAAACACACGTGTGCCACCATAAAACCTGCTCAGTTCTCAGTGATTGCTCAAGGTACCACGAGTCTAATTCCATTTATCTTTAGTTAGAAGGTAGAATCACCTCCACTCTTTCCCCAAAGCCAAGAATGCAATGGGTAATCCTTCCTGAAGTGGAAATGGAGGAAAAACAGAGTTGGAATCCAGATGACAATTATGTGCAACCAACTGAACTGGAATGAAGCAAGAAAAACATGTTTTTCACCTCTGCCTGTGACTGTCTGGGGGATGTGTGTGTGTATGGGAACAGCTCCTTAAAAATAGTTTTTTGAAAAGGAAAAAAAAAAAGGAAAGAGAGAAGTGAAACTACAAGCAAATGGAGGAGAAAACTCACTGCCTCAGCCCAGAGAAAAAAGAAAAGATGACATGAGCATCACATGTGAGATCAGCAGTTGAGCCCAGATTCCACAAGACACTTTAAAAACTCCAAAGAATGTGAAATCACATCCAGTGCAGATGATTCCTACTTTCTGCCAGGTTTCTCCTACACTTGGCACAGCTAATAAACACAGTTTTTCATGCCAATGAAAGAAATATCGAAACAAAATCGATTAAAAATAATTTCTCCTGTTTTTTTTTTCCTTTCTTTCTTTCACCAGAACTTTGAAATTCTCAGAGCCACGAGCTAACCTGTGTTTCTGTACAAATTCCATTTCTGTACCCATCCCTGGTTACAGAATCCACACACACACACACACAACTTCAATATGTAGAATATATCTGCATATTCCACATATTCATTGTATATACACAGTTTATGTACAGCACAAAGAACTATTTACTGGACAGAGCATGTGGACATGTGGAGTATATACACACACTATTATTACATTATACAATACACTATATATATATATACACATAGACACAGATAATATGGGTCTCACTGTACACTGTATATGCACTGGGGATGCTCACATTTGCCAGCTCTTGCATTGTACATATTTTCTCTGCTCAAATAGCAACAGGCCTGTTTGTGCTTTAGATTTCACTGTTCTGGAGGAAGAAGACCAATGTCTTGCACTAAAGTTTTGCCTTAAAGGACAAGTGCAGGTATTGTACAAACACCGAGTTACAGCAGAGGGAAACACAGTGGGGAATCTTCCTTTTTATGTGGAAAACTGTATTAAATACCAAGGGGAGAAATCACAGCTAAGTTTTCTTCTACTGCAGTGCCAACATTTTGAATCAAGAGTGTTTCAGTAAACTTAAGGTTCCTAAATCTAATACACTGTGCATAGAGAACATGTTCTGTCCTGGTTCATTGATCTGCAGTTACTGTCCAAGCAAATATGAGGAAGAGTCAATAAGGAAATAGGAAAATGAGCCCTAATACTACATGGAATGCTGGATTAATTCACATTTCTGCCTTCCTGCTGAAAATCTTGAAAACACCAGCCCATTGCCTTAGAAGAATTATAAATTACAGTATTTTAGAGCCCTGACAAAGCAGCAGGAAGTCTTGTTATGGTGCACAACTGAAAATTAATCAAGCTATTAAGTCATCCACCCTGTCCCACTGGAGTGACACCATCCCAGCAGAGCTCCAGGAGTGGGTTTCCTTTCTCAAAGGGGGTTTTACTGTAGCAAAAGAGACCCCACAAGGACTCAGGCCCGAGTGAGAAGGAGAATCTTACACATGGATAGTTTGTTTAACTTCCCTGGGAATCCTGCAGCCACTTGCTTTTGAAAATTGCTCTTTTTATCTCATGTTAGTTACAAGCAGACCCAAGTTTGCTCTCAGAGACTTCAAGTCCTGCACACCAAAAGAGAATTTTTCAACATTTTAGTATGTTTGATCATTTAATCCTACATATTTTAGAGAAAAATTACCACAATGGGAAGGGATTTCAAATCAGATTCTGTAAAATTAGAAATGCATCCCAGAGGGGCCATTAAAGGACAGTATTAAAGATGATTACATGGTTGGTTTTGATATTAGAAATACATCTTCTCCCCCTGTGAGGGGAATTAAAGATTCACATTATTTGTAGTACCATTAGCACAGGAGACACACAGCAAAGAGGGAATTGTGACTCCTAAAAACAACATCCCAAAGGTGGCTGGATGGGTGTGTTTGCACACTCACCCACCACCCCAAAGCCTGAGACCACAAATGCCACATCTTGGCTGCATTTCAGAGCTGAAAACTACCCAGATGCTTAAAATGATCCAATCTGATTCTTATCTCTGCATCAGGAAAGCATCCAGAATAAGGCAATCACAACACAGCAGGGAGAGGTTGTTTGCATCCACTGAACAGGCACTATTGTTGTAACATGAAAATAAAGGGAACTGAAGCAAGGACATAAAAACCAGAAATGCATTAAAGGTGATGAAGGAATACCACATTAAAACAAACAAACAAGCAAAAAAACCCCAAAAAACTGAGAAAATGTTGTAAGATAAGGGCTGCATCACTAAACCCCCAGAATGTTAAGCTTTGTATTCCCACAGGGCAGGAATTAAGACTGAGGACACGTAAAAATGTTGTGGTAGGTTCCCTACTCTATGAGACAGAAAAGTCCAAGGCAAAGACAACTGTAGCTTTAGAATTCCTGTAATCAGAAAAGGCATTTTTAGTAAGTAAAGAATTCACAGCCTTATTTTTTTGTATGACCTGTCAGACACGTGCTGTGCTGCCCTTTCCAGGTGGAAGCAGTCAGTGCATAGAAAACCTGTCCCTACCTGCTCTGGGGGCTGCAAACTGGATTTCAGAGCCAACCCAGACCACCAGTGCTGCCAGAACTTATGTGTGAATACGTATTTGGCAAATAAAAACTGATTCAGCTAACCCAGGTTTGATCTGTAACCCCACAGGACTGGTGGAATTAAAGAAGCAGAGGTAGGGACACAGCTGTGCTGGTTGGAGTAAATGAGGGTTGTAGGGATGGACACTCCTCAATCTCAGCCATTTTTCCATTGCTTGATTTCCTGATTTCACATGAAAGCAGCACCCAAACGTGTATCACCACCCTTTGCTTATGATACAGCAAAATTTTACTTCATAATTTAACTGCCAAATGATTTGTCCAATTTACTGCAGCTGAACGAACTCCCTCTTTTACCACGTCACGTACAATTATTAAAACTCAACGCAAACAAATGTTTAAATTAGAACCACTCATTCATAAAGGCTTCAAGTCTTTTACACAGTTCACTGTTTGTATCCATCATATATAAACTGCTAGATTCTTTTGTAAAAGCCACATCTTCTGGATTAAAAGGGACCATCTAATAATGAATTTATGCTTTGACACAGATGATGCAGGTGACAAACTGATTAGGCTACCATGAATTATTAAATAAACGTAACAAGTGAAAGCTAATTCTGTAAATATTCTCTTCTTTATGACATTTTCTTTGAAGTTCATCCTGCAGCCTCCAAACCCCCAATGGAATCCAGGTTATAAAAAGCCAGGTTCACACGTTGCAGTTTCCTAATGTGCAACATTTGTCTTCCAGAGAAAAGAAAACTTTCAGTATCTCAGGATTATACGTTACATTTCTTACAAGCAATAAATTTTTATCTAGAACATATAATACAGCTTATTACAGTGTTTCCTGCAGATTATGCACTTGAGAGAAGCCACACAGAGCCCGGGCGGACGCCCCCAGCCAGGTCTTGTTTAAATCTGAAGGTGACTAAAATTATTTTCACAACAGAAACCAAGGGTTTAGTATTTTTACCAAAAGCCATTTTCCAAGGTTTCTCTTGGATGGGGTGGAGCCCAAGCCCCTCTTTAGGAGTTTGGCATGTCAGCCTTACTGAGGGCAATGGCCAACTCGAGGTCTTCTTGTTCTTGTCTCCGCAACCGGGCCAGTCTTTCTTGCTCTGCTTTCTCACTCTCCCTCTTGGCCCAGGCCAGCTGCTGCTCCTCATTTCCAAACTAAAAAAAAAAAAAAAAGGAAAATGGAAAAGAAATTAATAAATTTGCCAACCAGCCAGAAGAAATTATGTGAAAAAAAACACAATGAATCTGACTCGTTAAATTCACGGGTCGAGCACACCGAGCTGTCTCAGGGCAGTTCTTCTGGATTAAGGTAAAAATCCACTCACTAATTTCCTCACTTTAATTTATTTCCTTAATTTTCTTCTGCCTTCACTTCCTCCTTTAATTTATTTCCTTAATTTCTTCCTCCTCCCAGCAGGAAGCTAAGCCATGTGGGCTGCACATCCCTGTATCCACGGCTCAGGTGGGTCTGAAAACAGCCACTGGAGCCAAAGAAAAACTCCACAGACACAAAAAAAAAAACAAGCAAAGTTAGTGGCTTGGGAGCACAGCAACTACAGCCATTTTTAAGGATAGGAAATAGCTGGTGGAACCAAGAGTTGTTTACTCCTGTGCAACTCCACTGCAGAGTTTTATTGTGGTGGCTCCTGCTGAGGGTGAGGGGTCTGAGCAGTGATTTTGACATGTGAGAGGCTTCCTGACCAAAGCAAAAGTTACAGAAAGTGCTTCTGTTACTGTTCATAAATTACACACAGAGTTTTTCCAGTAAGAAATAATGTGGGAGAATCCAATTTCCTTCAGCAGAGAACACTAAGGAAATATCCCACATTATAACATTCAGCTCCTGAGCCCGTTTGGGCTCCCCAAAACACATTTAAATACAGTGCAGCCAAACTAGTCCAAAATTATATTCCAGTATTTACCACTGAAAGATGGAAAAGTTTGAACTTTTTTTGCACAAAATCTACAGCTATTTTATTGACACCATAACAATTTTAAGCTCAAATATAATCTGCTCCTGTTTAATTTTAGCAGTTGCTGAGGAGGCCGATGGGAACAGCTGCATGCAAATGTCTGCATTAGAGCCACTTCTAAAATCTGCTTTGTGTTGGATTTTTTTTTTTTGGTGCAGGAAAACATATTATTTGGGTTTTTTTTTTTTGTGAGGAGAAAAATTTCAGCTGGATGTATAGTGCAAAAATTCCTGGTGGGCCGGGACACAGCGAGTGAGCACAGCCCACGGTGCCACCAGGAGCTGGCACAGCCTAAAACATCAAACTGAGTATTAAAAATGCAACTTTCACTGCTAGACCTTGTTTAGCTGCATATACACAATGTGATGGTCCCACCCCTGCCTCTTCCACGCTGCACTGTATCTGTAATTTTTTATTTTTTTAGGTATTTTTTAGGTATTTTTAAATAAATCCGCCTATTTGAATTTCTGTCAACCCAAGTCCAATTCTCCTTTAGTTAAATTATGCTCATCATTCCTCATTTTTTTATGCTCATCATTCCTCATTTTATTTCTCTCGAGATGGTTTTTCAGATGATTTGATGCAAAGAAAAAAATTACACTCCTTCATGTAACACCTCTGCTTTCATCACCATCAAAATTTAGAGGGGGACCTTTGCATTCTATGTTAGTGAAATACAACAAAAGTGTCACACATTTTGACATTTTCTTTTTAAAATGAAGAAAAACTACTATCATTTCTCATTTAAATAACATCAGCTGACAGGTAAGATTGAAAAGCTCACTAAGATTTTAAATAGATGATTTTTTTTCAAGGTAAAGATGGAAAATGGAAGCAGGAATTCTGTGCTTATTCCAAGAATTCAGGCAGATCCTTAAGCTGGGATGGAGAATGAACAGTTACTATTTCCAGAAATACAAGAAGCTTTGGTCAAACCATCTGGGGTGTTTTTTTAATGTTGAGAAACCAGTTTTATTCCTATAGCTTCCATCCTAGGATAAGGCTTCCAAAGAGAGTCCCAATTATAACTTGTTCATGGGACACAAGTTATATTTTTGTGGTTAAGAGTGCTGAGTAAAATAAAAACAAAATAAAAGGAAAAAGAAGCAAGTGATTCATTGGAAACAAATCTGGATGGGCCTTATTACAAGTGGTTGGCATAAAGGAAAATTTTCAGGAGATAACTCAGTGAAATA